GGGGGGAAGTGAAAGAGGGGAGGGAGGGAGAGAGAGGCTGTGGGGGCCTTGTCTTCACATGTTCAGAGGCAGGGGTGTCCGAGTGACTTGGATGGGGCTGTGCGGGGTGTGCAGGGGCCAGGCAGAGCCGGGGACTCAGGGTCCTGTGCCCAGCCCAGGGCAGTTTTTGCTATTGCAGTTCCTCTTAACCAGCCCCAAATCCCTGGTCTCCGAACTTAAGACTTTTCCTGCGAACTAGACAGAAAGATTCACTGGACCCCCACCCCCACTCCCACTGAGAGAAGCGCAGGGGTCAGCTTGGAAACAAGAACCCAACCCCCCAGGCACTGAGCCCTGCTGGGGTGGGGGGGAGCCCAGACTCATGAGAAATCAGTTGTTTCCAGATGGGGTCAGCACAGCAGAAATGGACAGGCAGATGGACAGGCAGGTGGGTGAATGAAAAGAGCAGACAGACAGGGGAAAGCAAGAAGCAGAGGGGAGGGCAGCCCGTGCTCTGGCTGGGCTGGCTGCCCTACATGTCCTTGAGGGCAGCGACTGGGTCTCTTATTTGTCACAGTATCCCTGGCACCAACCTCAAAACCTGCTGTGTGGCAGGTGCCCAGAGGATCTGTTGAGTGTATGAGTAGAGGGAGGGGGCCTGCAGGGAATGGTCTCCCTCAGGGTCCCCTCCTGTCAGTCCTCTCCTGACCCGCAGGAAGACCATGTCATGGCCCTCGCTGGACACACAGCGGGCCTGGCATGTCCATCCCAGCACCTGGGCCACCTCGGCTGCCCCCCAGCACCCTGGGGCTCCAAGGGTGAAGGCCTGGCTCCTTGCTGCAGGCCCAGCACAGGTACAGCATGGGGGAGGAGGGTGTCTGCTGACGGAGAGGATGAAGGAAGGACCAGTACATGTCCCTTCACTGGGCTCGGTCCCTCAGCCAGGGAGCAGTTTGTAAAGCTGTCTAAACCAGGAGGGCCCAAGGCATTGGACCAAGGTGGGGGCTTGGATCCCCAGGACCTAGGACTCATGTTGGAAATTCACAGTAAACCCAGGAGGAAGGTGTCAGGCCAGGGTCTCTGCAGCCAGGTACATCTAGGACAGGAAGCTCAACCACTGTGGGGTTCCTGCAGGGGAAAGCAGGGAGGCTGTGTGTATAAGGCGGGAGGAGTCGGGTGGGAGGCAGAAATAGAGAGTGAGAGAGATGAGAGACACACAGAAAGATAAGCAGCGATTCGAGAGGCAAAGCCCGAGAGGAGACACTGAGAGATGGGAAGGGAGAGACAGAACTTGGTACGGTTTGCACGGAGCAGGGGTGAAGGCCCCTGCGAGTGCCAGCCGTGGGAGGGGTGGCCAGGACCAGTCCCTCCCCAGGGGGAGCCGCTTTGGTGCTCAGAGGGGCCAGGTCAGCAACCTGCGAGGAACAGCAGGAGGATCAGAGGGCGGGGGTGCACACAAGGCGAGATGGGGACAGCAGGAGGCGTCAGGCGAGCAGAGGTGTCTGGGAGGGTGACCCGCGAGGGACCCTGACCCAGGCACAGGCTTGGCGCACGGCAGGTTTTCGGATGGAACCGGAGAAGGGGATGGCAAGGAGGAGGGAGAAAGAGGAACAGGAGAGGAAGACCACACCAGAATTACCTGATCAAGTGATAGCTGTGAGATACCACAGTGCAGCAGAGAGGGGGGTGGGGAGAGAGGAGGGACATGCGCCGGATCAGAGCGGTGAGTGACAGAGAGAGAACGTCAGTCAGGAATAAAACAGCCAGTTGGTGGTGGTGGCTGGATCGGGGCCCCTGCCTGGCCCTAAACCCTCCCCCGGACCCAACCCCACTTCCCCACTGCACCGCTGTCCCGGGTGCTACCCTAACAGGCAGGAGGTCTCCAGCGTGGCATACCAGAGTGCTGGGTGTTGGTGACAGCCCAGGCCCTGGGGAGCAGGTGAGGACAAGCCGGAGAGGAGCCCAAACCCGCCAGAGTCCACACAGCAAGTCATGGCAGAGCCTGGCTCTGGGCTCCCAGCTGGGTGCTCATTCCAGAAGCCACTCAAGCTCTGGCTGAGGAGGATGGGCTAGGGGGCCTGCTGGGCAGTCCTACCCTAAACAGGCTGCCTGATCAGGGCTTCTCCAGGCCCAGGGCTCAGGAGGAAGTTCAGCCGGCTGGGGTGGGGGCTGGGCTTGTGGGGTGTGCAAGGGGGTCAGAGCCTACTCACTTCTGGAGGACGAAGATGCCAATGATGAGCATGAAGGAGATCAGGTCCGCGGTGACCCACATGAGACAGTACTCGTCTGGGGGCTGTGGACAGATGGCCCATGGCCAGTTTTCAGTCATGGCCAGTCCATACCGGGGCTCCAGACTGAGGGTCCGTGGGCAGGACGACCCCATGTCACCATCAGGGAAGGGATAGGGAGTGCCTAGAGGGGGTTCGGGGCTTGGGGCCTTGAGATTGTATTTTGTAGGTGTGGGGTGTGTGTGTGTGTGTGTGTGTGTGTGTGTAAAGAGATGCAGTGGTCAGGGTAGAGGTGGCATGTGTTAATAAGCCTGGAGGATTTGTGTGCTTAAGGGGGCTCCGAGCAGGTGGTGAGTAAATGGAAGGCAGGCAGCTGTACGTGGAGGTGTGAATGACGAGCAGGTACGCAGGGGTGTGGTGGAGAGGCGTACGGCATCTGTGCGGGTGTAAGAGTACGTGTGTCACTGTAGGGTGTGGAGCGTGGGCTCCCCCTCCAGGGGCCAGGGAGGGCAAAGCCTCCAGAGTGCGGCCAGGCCTCCAGGGCCCTCGATCTCAGGTAAACTGGAGGGAGCGGGGCTGTGCTCATTGCCGCTGCTAGTCAGTCATCACTTCACCTTGTTCTGAGCAGAGCCCTTGGAGGTTTGTAAGGACAACGGGCAGGTGGATGGACACACCATCCATAACCTAGATCCGATTCCGTGACCCTGCACTGTCTCAGCCGTAACAAAACCTTGGACTGGCTGTCATGTCCTCAGGGAGGTGGCAGTAGGAGCACAGCGGGGAGGTCAAGGGCGCCCCGAGCCCCCAGTAACAGAGCTGGGACTGGAGCTCAGGCCTGTCAGCAGGGGCTCGATCAGCCAGGTAAAAATTGGTTTTATTTGCTGTATTCTCAGAACAGCATTTAATGTCCCCTATCCTTGTTCTATTGTTACTCTTGTTCTAATGCCTTGCCCTCCTTTAAAACAAAACATAATAACCCCCCCCAAACCCAAACCCCAAGTAGTAATTTACTCCTCTAGGGCCCTTGAGTGATGTTTTTCTCCCCATGGGCTGGGCCCAGGTTCTTCCCACCCCCTAGCACCTTAGTGCAGACCCCAGAGGCCATGAAAATCCTCACGTGCTGTTCCCCACCCCTGACACCTCACCAGAGAGCCCCGAGCATGGAGCCTGCCCCCCATCCCATGCCACAGGCTCTCTCTGCACACCTCCAGGGACCCTCTGCCCCCTGACCGTTCCCCAACTCACCATGATCCAGAGGGGGGAAGGCACCTGGGACAGGGTGTGGGAGTTGTCGGAGGTGACAGAGGGGACCCCCGCACACCACAGCAGGGAGAACAGCCACGGCGTGTTGACCGTGTAGAGGTTCACACTCAGGTTCCAGGACGCATAGTCCCTGTGGGGCAGGCAGACAGAGGCTGTCAGCCCTCCGAGGGGGGGCCTCCGGGCCCAGCGTGGGATGCCTCTGAAGCATGTCCCCCTTTTTAAACCCACTGTCCTCACCACTGTCTCCGGAGAAAGGAATCTCCCCCCGCAGAGGAGCAAGCTCAGACAAAACCCAGATCTGCCAATGCTCTCAACCTCTACTCTTTGAACCACGAGCCCCAGCGTGTCCGTCTGGCCCCCGCTGCATGAGCTGGGGTGGGCACCTGAGCTCCTGGCGGGACACCTGAGTGTAGCGCAGGTTCAGCCTCTGGATGTGGCCTCTCCGCAGGCTGGTGGCCGCCTCCTTGGAGCCCGACGTCTGCTGGAAGCCAGGAGCCACCTTCCGCACGAAGGGCCTCTGCCGGTTGGGCAGCCACAGGACCTGCAGGCAGAAGGGGGCAGCCTCAGATTTCGCTTCTGTCACCTGGTGTTACAGCGTCTACCCCTCCTAGAGCCCCTGGAAGGGTTAAAAGTGATGGGATGTGGCCCACAGTGAGGCTCACGTGTAATAATCATCTACAGGGGACAACGTGGTCCAGTCAAGCCTGTGAAACTGCTCTCCCCTCTAGACCCCTGTCCCAAGACTGATAACCCGCGTCACTCTGTAGCTTGCCGCCGGTCCCGTGTGCTGCCAGAAAGTGGTTTCCAATTTCTTTGATCTCCGAGTATGACACCACAGGGATGCGGAAATACGAGTGTTCCAGAGAACCGGCTCCTGCCCTCTGTCCGTTTCAAAGGCCTTTCTTGTGTCCCTCCCGTCCCCAGGACGACCTGTCAGGAAGGCAAGGGGCATGCTCCCCCATCCTGCACATGTGGAAGCTGAGGTCGGGACGGGCGGTGTGGTGCGTGGACGCTGGAGGCCAGCCAGGCCTGGGGCGCGGCCGGGCGGGGCCTCACCTGGTGCTGGGGGAAGCCGGAGCGCAGCAGGGCCTCCAGCGTGACGTTGAGGAAGCTGCTGCGGAACGGGTGCTCCCGAGGCGGGTCACGCAGGTTGAGCAGCAGTGTGGCGTTGCCCTTGGCCAGCTCCAGGAGCTCTGCCAAGCTGCAGATGGACTGGTTCTGCGCCTCCCTGTGGTCGGAGGGCGACAGGGAGCTGGCCGTCCAGAAGGGATCCGCCTGGCAGAGAGAGGGATACACAGGGCTGCCTCACCAGCCACCGAGCACGAGGTCAGGCAAACTGATGGCGGGGGCCCTGTGGGGAGTCTAGGAGACCCCAACCCTAACTTCTCCACGCCACCCCTGTTTCCTGAAAAGTCATTTGCTTGGAACTTCTCCCAGACTCCAGCACATTTCTCCTTTAGTAGCATTTCAGACCAGGAACCAATCTCCCTTTGGAGTTTGACGGAGTTCCCAGTTTTTACCTGTTAACTATTATCATCAGTGTCAACTTTTTCTGATGGGGAAGGCAGAACGAGAACAAGCACTAACGACTATGACATCTGGGCTCCAGTGGCAGGAGCTCAAGCAGGCCACTAACCAGCCTGGCTGTGAGTCACTGATGCTAGGGGACTAGGGGTCCTCTGAGCTGCTGGCCGCCCCTGGCCCTGTCACTCCATGGGGTCCCCGCCTGTGTTTTCCATGCCTAGGACTGGGACAGGTAGAGCCAGACCTTCAGGAACCACTGGCCGGCGTTGAGCCTCTGCAGGATGGTCCAGTTCAGCATGGAGGCGGGCCTGCGGGCGAGCTCCGGGAATTCCTCTGCCACGTTAGTGGTTCGCCGCAGGGTGTTGTCATGCATGAGGAAGGGCACACCATCCAGGCTGCGGGAAGGTGGGATCCCCCAAGTCACTGTCCACCCAGGCCCCTCACCTGCCCACCAGTGATCCCCTCCACCAACACCCATACACTCCTTCCCACCCACCTACAGCAGCCCCCATGGGACCCAGGCAGGCTTTGCTCCTCTCTGGGCCTCCGGCTCCCTGTGTGCACAGGGAAGACAGGGGGTGAGTCCCTCTGGCTCTCTGTGAGTGTTGGGGGGGTGGGTAGGGACCGCTGAAGAGGGAGGGCTGGGCCTGTTAGCAACCATAGCAGATAGGTGCGACCTCATTTGATAATGGGGAAACTGAGGCTGGGAGAGGGAAGTATCTAGCTCAAACGCACTAGCCCAGGAAGTGGTAGAACCTGACTTCGAACCCAGTCCATGTGACGCCATAAAAGGACAGGACAAATGCAGGCCCCCTTTGACACATTCCCCCTTACCACCATCCTGGTCTACCCGACTGGGGCTGCCAACAGCCCCTGTGGTATCTTAGTGTGAAACAGTAAGAGGCACATGTGGCCCCCTTCCTCAAGGCATTTTACCACATCTGCTAGAAAGTGATAAACACACAATTCTGTGATGTCTACACTGGGAACGATGGGCTATCTAACGGTGGTATCTACACTCGGAACCTCACGTGTGTGGTGCCCCTCTTCACTCACTGCACCACCTGTGTAAACTACACATGGTAGCCCCGCCTCTTTCCCCCTTTCAAGAGGTCATCTGTTGTGAGATTGGTATGAATTCTTCTCAACCTTTATACTACTAAGTACTTTTAAAATCTACATGTTGAGAACATAGAAATCGTTTTATGTGGTCTTCGAACTAAAATATAAATGACGTCACAGTGACTGTATCGCTCTGCAGTGTGCTTATTTCACTTATCCGTGTTTGAGCTCCGTCTTGCTGAGCCATATAGATCTAGTCTTTCCTTCAGCTGGATCTGTGGCAGGACTCCAGGTCCCACTCCCCCACCCCTGCTTGAACAAAGAGCATCTATTTATTTCCCTATTTTATATTCTGGCATTTGTCACAAACAGGGTGTGGGCCCTGCAGTGGATAATCCAAGCCTTGGCCCTCCCATCTCTGAGGCTCTGGGACCCGAGGTTCCTCCAGCAAAGTCCCAGATGTGGATGTGGCGGGCATGAGTGGCGCTGTGGTCCTCCCAACCCCCACACCTACCTGATGGTGACATCAGCCTGTAACCCATATAGCTTCTGTTCCAGGGCCTTCCGGAAGGACATCAGCGTGTGCTCTGGGGCCAGCTACGCAGGAAGGGAGAGCCAAGATTTAGCTGATGTACACCTCCCCAGCTAGTGTAGACCCTTCCGTGTTGGGAGGCTGGAGTAGGCCTGGTTCTAGTTCCTGCTCGTCCAGGCAGTAGCTGTGGGACCCTGGGCACCACGCAGCTTCTCCGAGGCTCAGTTTCCTCATCTGTTAAATCGTGCCTGCCTCACAGGTTTTCTTTGCAGGGGAGGAGGCAGGGGTGGTTAGTGTTGATGTATATAAATGTGGGGGTGCAATCTGGGGCTGGGGCTGCGGCCATGTTTCCTCCTGGTTACACCCCGGGTCTGGGTGGAGATCCCAGAGGGAGAGGAGAAGGTATTCAGGATGGCAGAGTTTCCACAGGGTGCCCAGTTTTCTCATCTATACAGACATGACAAGACCATCCCCTAGACCATTACAGGGATTATAAGCCCCCAACATGTTGTCTGATATGCAGTAAGTGTTTAATAAGTGACTACTATTAATCCTATAGCATATACATCACAAGATCCTGGTTCTAGCCCTGGCCCTGCCATAAACTAGCTTTGTGACCATCGGTGCATGTCTTTCTCCTATGGACCTCAGTTTCCCCATTTTCCCCTTGGGGATATATATTCAGTGTTCTCTGAATTCACTGGGTCCTTCCAGTTGGGGGTCTTTCCAGTTGGGAGTTCCAGGTCTCCCTCCCTCGTTCTGTCTGGTCTGAAGACCCTGTCATATCCTCTGTAGCCACTGGGCGTCACCACCAGACCAAGGATTGGGCTAGGACCCAGTGCGCGGGGTGGAGGGTGAGGGGCGTTAAGAGGAAGGGAGGTCTTCTGGCAGTGAAGGGATGGGCTGTAAGGGGTTCCTGTGGCTGATCTCATTCCCACCAAGATACACTTGTGCCCATCTTCTCTCCCTCTGGCCACGCCGCTTCCACACCTAACACATTCCCTTCCTCTGGGAGGCAGCCTAGCACAGCAAGGGGCTATGGGGCCAAGAAGGAACAATTCCACTCCCCGCTCACCTCACCTCTGCACCTCAGCTTCTCTTGCTATAAAACCGGCTAATGTTATCAAGCTCATAGGTGAGATGAGAGACATCAGCAGTCTCTATACCCGAGTTCCTTTCTTCCCCTTCCCCTGGGGCAGAGCAGCTTTGGGGGACACGGCTCCCTTCTCCCAGTCAGGTGAGCTGTGTGAGGCCCCACCCAGAGGCAGAACAGGGCCACGGAGGCATTAGAGATGGGCGTGGACTCAGTGGAGTTCCTGCCCATCTTGCCTCTAAATGTCCTGCGGCCATGCGTCTCACAAGTGACCACCTCAGAGGTGCCAAAGCTCCCTTGTCGGCTGAGGCTGCAGAAGGTAGACTGTGGGGAGCACCGCAGGGGCTACAAAGACCCTTGGGGAGCAGAGGAAGTGATGGGGAAGGGCAGAGGCTTTGTAAACTCAGGTCTCCCTGGGATAGGTGCTGGCTTCCTGGAGAAAGAGCCTTGGAAACCTAGCCTGCCCTGGCCAACCTGGGGACCCCAAGAGGGCTCCAAGAAGCATGCAGGATTTCAGGGCGAATTTTTTTTTTTTTTTTAAGATTCTATTTATTTGACAGAGAGAGACACAGTGAGAGAGGGAACACAAGCAGGGGGAGGGGGAGAGGGAGAGGGAGAAGCAGGCTTCCCGCTGAGCAGGGAGCCCAATGCGGGGCTCTATCCCAGGACCCCGGCATCATGACCTGAGCTGAAGGCAGACGCTTAACGACTGAGCCACCCAGGGGCCCCTCAGGGCGAATTCTTAATCCTTACCTGCCTCAGCCTAAGCCCAAGTGGGATTCTGAGTGTGTGTGGGGGGGGCGGTTGTCACAAATTCAGCTGGGCAGTCCACTGTGGTTCAAAGTTCCAGCGCTGGAGTTGGTCTGACCAAATGTTAAAGAACACACACACACACACACACGCACATGCACGCGCGCGCGCCATCCATCCACCCAAGGGCACACGGACACCATCTCCAAGACAGCAGTGTGCACTCGGGCTTATCCCACACACGTGTGGATCCCGAGGTGGTGATGCCGCAGGTGTAGACCCCAATACACGTGCAGGCGCAGTGACCCACGGGGCTGCGTCAGGCGCTCGTGCCAGCCACTCAGCAGCCACCTCGGGGACGCAATCAGCCACAGGCACCATGTGGGAAATTCTACAGGACAAATGACTCAGTTTTTTTGACAAACAGCATATGGAAAAAAGGGAGGGGGATTGCTATATATACTAAAAGAAACTTGGAAGACATGTCAGCCAGATGCACCATGTGGACCCTGTTTGGATCCTGATTTTTAACAACTCAACTGTAAAAAGGTATTTTTAAAACAATAAAGAAAAACTAAACATGGATTCAGTATTAGATAATATTAAAGAATTATTAATTTGGTTGGGTGTAACTGCATCACTGTAGTTGTCATTATATTAAAACAAAAAACGTCCTTATGGATTAGACATATATCCTGAAGTACATATGGGCAAAACGATATGATGTCTGGATGTCTGGGATTTGCTTTAAAATATTACAGCAGAGTGGTGCCTGGCTGGCTCGGTCTGTGGAGCATGCAGTTCTTTTTTTTTTTTAAGATTTTATTTATTTTTGAGAGAGAGCGAGAGCGTGGAGGGGAGGAACAGAAGGAGAAGAAGAGGGAGAGAATCCCAAGCAGACTCCACGCCGAGGGCGGAGTGTAGCCCGACCCAGGGCTTGATCCCACAACCCATAAGATCATGACCTGAGCCAAAGCCAAGAGTCCGATGCTCAACCAACTGAGCCACTGAGGTGTCCTGGGCATGCAGTTCTTAATCTCAGGGTCGGGAGTTTGAACCCAACACTGGGTATAGAGATTGCTTAAATAAATAAACTTTAAAAAAAAATCTTAAAATAGGGGCGCCTGGGTGGTGCAGTCAGTTGAGCATCCAACTCTTGGTTTCAGTTCGGGTTGTGATCTTGGGGTTGTGGGATCGAGCCCTGCATCTGGCTCCGCACTCAGTACGACGTCTGCTTGGGATTCTATCTCCCCCTCCCTCTGTCCCTCCTACTGTGTTCTCTCTCTAAAATAAATAAATCTTTTTTAAAAATCTTAAAATATTGCAGCAGAAAAGAAAAAGGGAGACGGATGAAACAATGGCAAGAATACTGATAGATGTTGAAGGTGGTCTTGGAGTCATTATACTATTCTTCGGTCTAGGATTCCTTATACCATTCTTGCAATTTCTATGAATAATAGAAATTTTTCCTACTAAAACAATGATCCATGCTGGGGCCACTTGGCTCCTTCCCCTTGGCTGAGCACCACCCCTTCAGTGCAGGAGCTCGTCCCCTGGCCTCCAGAGCAGGCCAGGTGGGTAATCTAGGTCCTGAACAGAAAAGGGGCTGTAATCTTGGTCCCCGTCCACCTGCGCGGGCTGTGCTTATAAGTTATGCTCATGATAGTCTGCAGCATAAGGCTCAGAGGGGACTGGTGACACCCCGGACACACACAGGCAACATGGGGGCAAAACTGGACCCCAAATCCAGATCCCTCTGACTCCAAAGCCATGGCCTTTGAGCTGGTTTCTTCCAGGAGGTGCTGGGACCAGCAAAGGGTATGTTGGGAGGGCACTAGGGTCCAGCTGGGCACAGATGTCTGAATCTTATCTAAAAAATGGGTACAGTAACACCCACCACAGGTAGTGGGGAAGAACCTAAGGGTGATTCACAGCCCCATCAGACTCAACACCTCCTTTTACAAGTTACTTTGTGAGGCCACCTTGACTACCCTGAAATTCAACATCACGGAACCCTCAATCACTGCAAAAACCAAGAAAAAGCTCTCACGAAGTCCTCAAGCGCCCCCCTGGGGGTGGAGAGTGGTACTGCCTCTGTTAAGAACCACAAGTTCAGGGTGTTCTTGGAAAGGAACCCCTGGTCCAGAGAAGGGAGAAGGCCTGCCCCAGAAAGCAGGAATGTCTACCTCTTATCTTCTGTGCACCAGGCTCATAGCTGGGCACTTCACACATGCTAAGTCCTGCTTTGCATGGCCCACTGGCGCAGACTCTCATTAGCCCAGAACACAAGATGAGGAAACGGGCACAGAGCAGATAGGGATGGACCCAGGCTCCCATAGCTGCCGAAGGCTGAGGAAGCATGGCTCTGAAGCCATCCTCTCAAGTGGAAGGTCTACTGTGGGGTCACAGGGTTCTGACTTTGACTGCTTCCTCTCTCCAGTTCAACCCCATTCAGCTACCTTCCCTTTAGCAGTGGGCTCTGAGCTGTACCCATCTGCTCCACCCCCCACAGCCTGAAAGGTGCTCCTGCTGACTCCTGCAACCCAGGGCCCTGCTGTTCTCCCCACACCTGGCACCCCTCTCTCCTGGGCCTTCCCAACCCACAACCTGGCCAGGTCTGGCCCTGGCCTGAAGCCCTCCTGCATCTTCCCAGGGCCCTCAGGATAAAAGTTAAATCTTTTAAGCAAGATGCCTTCAGGACGCTTCAGGGTTCAGTCCCATCTAAGCTCCCCAGCTTTTCCACCAGTTCTTCCCAGAAGCCCTCCGAAAGGGCTAAAGATTATTGCTATTACTACACTACGTTTATTCTCTCCCTTTCCCTACAAGGTTCTCTCTACAAGGAGATAGGTCTTGGCCTGTCTCCCCCAGAATGGCAGCTCCAGCCCACCCTGCTCTGTTAGGACGCTCAGGTGGCACTCACCATGGGGGCGCCGCGGTGGCCGATGAGGGCTGGCTTGGGGCCCAGATCCTTCTTCTCCATGATGCAGGGAGAGGAGATGGTGAGAGGCACCAGGTAGAAGGCAAACACCACGATGAAGAAGGTACAGAGAATGACCATCTGGGAGGCTGCAGACACAGGCTGTGAGTGAGGCTGCCTGGTGAGCCGTGTGGCTCCCATGAGGCCCACCCATGAACCCTGGGCAGCTTGGAAGGGGGGGGGATGCTGGACCTCTCTTCCCTCCCCCTGTCACGACCCAGATGCTCTGCAGGGACCCTGCACCACGGGCAGCCCCCATTCTTGCTGGGAAGGTGAGCTTGACTTCTCACTCCCACATAGACAGGCAAGCAGAGGAGGAAACATGCTGCAGCCCTTGGTGGAACCTGTGGGCCACTCTGAATCAGAACCCTCACACTGAGAACGACACCTTATCCCCAGGCCACCTAGGTGACGTCCAAGTGAGGGCAGGACAAGCCAGTTTGGGTACTGGGAAGGCAGTCATACTTACAGGACCGTTCTGCCCGGGCGAACTGTCCCGCCACAATCCAGGAGAGCGCAGTGATAGCGACCAGGGCCCCCACGTGCAGGAATGGCGCTGTGCCCTTGTGTGTGGGAAGGGGCAAGAGGGACCATTGGCTCCCAGCCACGCCCATACCCTCTGGTCACCGACATCCGACAGCCTGTCTCTATCCATGGGGCAGGGAACTCTGTCTCCATTTTTCAGTGGAAGGAAACTCGGGGTGCAGAAACCCCAAGCTATAGCCCCCTCCCTGCTCTGACTTACTGTGTGACCTAGACCGCTCCGTGCTCCCTCTGAGCCTTTGGAGAGGCGTGAGCAATAAAAAGGCCCTGCCTTGTTTGGAAGGTCCCGAGGAAGCAGCTGCCCGGCACCCCCCACCCCCACTCACCTGCAGGGAGATCAGCAGAACCTCCCACTCGTCCTCCCACAGCTGGGCCACGGCCGACATGGCCACCACCGTGGACACCAGGATGACCACCAGCCCTATCTGGAAGGGGAAGAATCACCAGACAGAGGGTCAGAGCAGGTGTGCCTGGACAGCCCGAGTGTCCCCAGTGTGTCACAGGGGGGCAGAGGCAGCGGGGGGAGGCCGAGAGACGGACACGGGGAGGAATGGAATGCGAGACCCACGAAACAGGGAGGTGGGGAAGTGGAAAGGAGGCATGACTGAAAGAGGGCCAGAGACGGCCAGTCAGAAGTGACAGCGAGGGACAGGGGCAGGAGGAGTCAGGCAGACCTCAAGAGAACAGAAGGGAGGCCGGAGAGGAGAGAAGGTGGGAGGAAGCTGGGGGGAGGCGGAGGCTCAGCCCAGGGTCCAGGCCCCATGAGGGTGTGAGGAAGGAAGACACTCGGCCAGTGGGGACCTCTCCTGGGCCCAGCCGGTCACGGCTAAGGCCTCTCCTAGCCCTGCCAGCAGCCCTTGGGGCGAAGGGTGACTCGTCCAGGCCTCGGGGGCAGGAGGTTGAGGAGCCGGGTCCCCTGCAAGAGCCGATAGCCCCTGAGGTTACAGCAAGCTGAAGTGAGGTGGGGTTCTGCCCCACAGGCCCCACTGCCAAGGCTTGCTTCCAGCTTCTACTGTGTGCGG